TAACTAGGGTCGATTTCTGCCGGCAAGCAGAAACACAGAATGGTGTGGAGGTATTTGACACTCTTAGTTCAATCCGTTGAGGCAGTGGTTTGCACGGCGTATGAACCTGACTGCAAGTATCGACAATTTTATAGTGAGAAAGGGCAATACGTCCACTGTGTAAGGATTTATCTGACAGAGCCTCCAAGTCCGTCCCGGCTGAATTTCCTGATTTCTGATTGCCTATCGCTGTTTGATGCCCTGCGGTGGCTTTCAACCCCAAACTAAAAAACCATAACCCACCTTGCCCACTGTTCAGATCAACAGTGCCATATTCTTCCTCTGTATGGTCTCGGTCATGCAATTGCTTCCCCCTGCCAACCGTTTGATATTTATATGTTCCTCTTTTTCCCAGTTGTACAGTTAGCATCTTGCCGCTTTTTGCGTTTTTTCCATTTTCTGTATGGAGGACATTAATTTGACCTGGTATGGTCGCTCTAAGCAATTCTGCAGAATGTTCACAGTCTTTTTGTCTTTTCCATTATTTATTTTTACCCATTGCGGTAGGAGAACTGGCATTTGCACATAAATGAGATGGTCATTTTTAAGTTTAGGGTACTTTCCTACGAAAATCAAATTGCTAATTGGTTTTTCTGTTTCCTTCGTGCCATTGTCATTCTGTTTAGATGAATGCATTATTTCCTATTGCCTTGCCGAATAATTGTTTGTCAGTGTGTTAGTGAAATAGTTAAACGGTAACATTTTTTTCTTCAGCATTCATAACATGCTACGTAATGTGAGACAGGTTTTTACTTTACAGAGTGAGCATCTTTCATCCACCTTTCCAAAATCAGCAAAACACGTGTTTGGGCGTATAGCTGGTCCCTGTTCTGCCAGTATAGTGACTCATTCGTCGATTGTATACTACTGACTGCCTGTCTGCAGTTTGTGGATATCTCACATTTATTTCACAATAAACGGTGGTTCTTGCTCAAATATTCGTGTTATCTGTCGGAGTAAGCCTATAAAGGTTTGTTCCGAGGGATTTTCTCCAAGTTCGCACACTATTTTCCTCAGAAATGCAAAGGGACAACACACCTCTCTATATTTGAATGGACGAAATAAGTGAATAAACTTTTTCCTCTGGGTGGTGCCTCTTGTGGTTCATGATGCAGCCGATAAAAGGACCCGCCCGACTTTCGTCACCTATGCTGTAGACACTTGTGCAACCTATCCTGTCGCCGTGGTCAGTTTCATTTGCCCTAGATTACGACGCCAGTGTCTGCATGGGCCGTAGCTTCTCCATTGCTGCTCCCCAGTGCCGCATTTTAAGGAGATTTGTATGTCAAGCTTTTACGCCGTTTGATCCTTGGCACGCTCGGTGGGAAGGTGAACGTAACTTGAGCCACGCGTGACCTAGGGTCACACACATAATAGAAACTACTAGTGATTGAAAACCTTCGAATTAACCCATTCCTCTCCCACTATCGCAAACCCTAGTTCCGTAGAACTGAAGCGTTTGCGGAAAGCAAAGTATGATCTGGAGCAGCGGCTCGTCGCCCTGGAGACAGACCATCGAGAGGAGAAGCAGGCCCTGATGGAGACCCTCCGGGAACGCCACCGGATTGAGACACCGAGTGCCCACGACAACGCAAGCCTCGCCTACGTGAAGAATGTCATCTTTAACCTTCTCGTCGGCCCTGCCTCTTCCCTGAGCAGTCGACAAGCCATGCTTAAGGCTCTTGTAATGGCCTTGAACTACTCCAAGGACGAGGAGTCCGCAATAATGCAGAGCGCTAGTCACTAACAGCACTTTCCACTGCTGACCCTCCGTGTTCTTTCTGTGCCATCTTGTAACCCCCGAATCCCACGTGACCGCTTATCTCTCATTTTCACTTAATACCTGTTATCTATTCAATGATTTTGTAAGTGAAACGGCCTGTGATTGTCCTCATATCTCCATCGTTGCATTTCCGTGGAGGAACATTGCAAACGAATTTCACGTATTTACTGAAGTTCCCATAAGATATTATGGGTAGAGGGAACTTGATGGGATCTGGTTCCTTACTGCCGCGATAGCTACTCAATTCCAGACCGTCCCTGGGGCCCATTTTCCCGCCTGACTCACCGAATTTTTGCGGTATTTCCCATGGTAGAGGGGCACCCACCGATCGCGCTACGGAACTCACTCGTCTCGTTGTGCCTTGTGGCTCTCTTTTGAGCTTTGCCAATAGCCACGTCATCGCGTAATGTAGGCAGAAAAGTATTATCGACAAAGACACGGGGGGTAGGATGGCCGTTTCCAGCTTGTTAGCCGCCGTCAGCCAGTCATGCCCAACCTCGAGGTGTGGAACACCTGATATTCGATCCGGCAACCTGTTGGTTCGAAAGCCTATGGAATCTGGTCCAATGGGACTGAGCCATATTAAATTAGGACTCATCTCTTAGATTATACTGTCTTAGTTGGATCGAGTTTTTAGTTACGAGCACGGAGTAAACAATCTTTTATGTATAAGCCAGCTGCGGACGTGGAGGAATCTCCTATGCACATATCGCTTGCCGCAGTTAAGGGATCAATTTCTCCTGCTGGTACGTCACATTTGGAAGCAAATCTGTTGGGAAAGAGACAATGCGAAAGGAGGTTTTTCGACGGTTTTTTATTCCATTTATGCCTGATCCAGCAGGTTGCTTATACGTTTGGTGCCCAGTCTCAGCAGCATTCTCGCACTGCTCCTCAAGACTAGTTTGCAAAGTCCCTTAGTCTGTTGAGGAAGGCGATCGACGTTTCGTGTCCGGCTGTAGCTCTCTTCCTTCCACGCCAATCACGCCCGGTTGTTTTAGGCTACAATAGGTCCTACGGCTCATTATTTAGGTAATTGAACCAATGAGGTCTCAAGTGACCTTGCCTACTGAATTTTCGAGATGTCTTTGCGTGAGTTACCACCCGATGTGTATTCCTGGTGCGGGACAGCGTCGTGGGGTGCAGTGTACGTGACCCCAAGTAGACGCCCTCTTTTGTCTTCGGCTGCTCGACACTGCGACCACATGCGGGGACTCCAGACCGTAGACCAAAAGCAAAGCAGGGCGCCTACAGTCAGGTCAGGTTTGTGGACGTTCCCATTCGCGCGTCACCAGTAAGGGTGCTTTTGGCGTACGCTATTCCACGGTATACCTGTGCAACCTTCATAGTCCAAACTTTTTACCGTTTCGCCAATGCAGTATAAAATCAGGGTATTACTCATGCCATCTCGCGTACAGTACTCCAAAGATTATCCAAATTTTAAGTTGCTTTAAGATTGCTTTAAATTCGGCCCACCAGGAAGTCTCGTAAAGCTTGGGTCAGCGTGTTGCCATGTACCAGCCTTCGTTGAGGGCAAACAGAAATAAGCGGGCCCATTTATTTGATGAGTTTGCAGTCACGGGTTAACGCTGACTGTGTTATCCGAACTTGGTGGGTTGGAGTGTCTCAATTGACGTCACGTAGACTATCACGACGTCCTACGACTGCACTGTTACTCGAACGCGGTAAGTTCACATCCTATAGATACTCTTCACCACGTCTTCTTTGCCAGATATCCACCAAGCAGTCGACTGCATGACCTGTCCCAAAGCCTGTAGTGGCCTCTCGCGAGTGCCTGTACGTGTGCGCCGGCGGAAGTCTAGTTTCGCCACCCCCCCCCTCCCTGTGGACCAGAAAGACGTGCACCTCATATTGGAGTTAAAGAACTCCTCTTGTGACAGCCACCAAAAGCCTGAAACCCACACAGACGAGGTCCGGTATCTGATATGCACTTGTTAGACCATGACTGAAGTATTATTGGGGCATCCGACCGTGGCAGTAAAGGCGGATCGACATGGCGCTTTGACCGGCCTGAATTCTGAGGTCAACACCTGTACGGTGTAGTGCAAGTGTGCACATGTGCGTCCTCAGAATGTTGTCAGTGTCACGCACTGACTATTTGCCGAGAATTTTCAGTGGGAGCTACAGACAGTATTTAGGCGACCATGTTGAGATACCGTGTCGGGAATATGTACTACGTCCTCTAGAAGGCCTCTTGGTGTCTAATAAAAAAATTGTTACCGATAGAAGCGAACAGGTGAGTTCCAGGAAGCAGTTCAGAAGACGAAGATGCGTCCACTGAAACAAGAAATTTATTGGCCTAACTTTTCGGATTCTCACTCGAACCCATCACCAGAAACAGTCGCAGGCAACGGTAGTGATGGCACAGGGAGTGCAGTATTTATAGCAAGTGGCTGCCGTGGGACCATATGCGCACTGTAATTAACAGCTCTCGCAATCACCGCTGGGGTCGTAATTGATGCGATGGTGGCTTGTCAGTCCGCGTCCGAGTCGTTAATAGCCGTGATTTCGTCATCCGTTTTAGATGCTGGTGTGACGAATGCTCGGCAACTTGGCTTACTGTCACTGGGATAATTGCTCGTCCGCGTCCTCCCCACGTGACTGATTCCCCTACTCAGGGAAAATCTCAGCACGGAATATGGTAACGGGAGGCCATTACGCTTGTTGATGGATTGCGGGCCTGAGAACCATGACTCGAGCTGATCGCGGCTCACGCGGTTGTCACCCCCTGCGAGGATTTCAGCCTCTTGAAACTTGAAAATATGGCCGGGTTCCGTCGAATGCGCCGCCACCTGAGTGCTATTGTCCCCCCGCCTCGCTGCCGCTGGGTGTCCGGCAATTCGCGTACGGCGTAATCTCCCAGTTTCTCCGACGTAATTGCTTTGTCAGCAACTGCACCAAATCGGGTAAACGACTCCTGACGTGGCAGCGAGTCTTTCGGCCTCATAACTTGGCACCCGATGGTTGCTTCCGGCCTATGCGCAACCCAAAATCCAAGTGGAGTAAGAAGACGACTGACGACTTCTGAGACTTTCTCCACGTACGGAAGAGCCCGCCAAGAATTGTCGCCGGTTGGATTTTGTCTCTCGTCTCGTTTTCGTATGCACCGGTTGACAAAGTTGCGCGGGTAGCCATTGGATCTCTGTACCCGTCGAAGATATTATAATTCAGCAACCTTGTCTTCCATTTCACTGCAGTACGTTTCAACGCGCCGGTATAGCGCCCTTACGCAACTGAGTTTGTGACTGATCGGGTGGTTACTGTTGAAGTTCAGTATCTGCGTCGTATGTGTCGCTTTCATGAACACTTCGGTTTTTAGGCCACCACAATCTTTGCAGCAGACGAGGACATCCAGGAAGGCCAGCTGGTTGTCTTCTTCCTTCTCCTTTGTAAATTGAAGGTCCGGGAAGACGGCGTTAAGATGTTCTTTGAATTCCAGCACCCCATCCTGTTCGATGACGACGAAGGTATCATTCACATATCGAACGGTGAATTTCGGTCTCTGGTGTCGGAAAACCAGTGACCCCAAACGTAGTAGGACCGCCTCGGCTATGAGTTCTGAAATCGACGAACCCATTGGCGTGCCCTTCACCTGCACGTGGATTGTTCCGTCGAACGTGAAGTACGTCCTGAGGCAGAACTTCAGGGGCTGGATGATTTGGGCGTGTCCAAGGCGATTATCCGTTCCGTCGTATATCTCTCGTAGGAGTAGTTCGATGGTCTCGGTCGCCAAGTCCTGCGTGATAGAAGTAAAAAGGGAAGTGATATCAAAGGAAACAGTGACATCGCTTGGCAGGAGACTTACTCCTTTGAGTTTCTCCAAGAATTGTGTTGACAAGCTGACTGTGGTGTTCGAATCGGAGGTCAGGAACTTGAGACGCCGAAACAGCCACTTTTCCAGTCCGGAGGTTGGAGCGCCCTTCAATGATGCGATATGCCGGAGAAAGGCGCCCTCTTTGTGTACTTTTGGGAGACCGTAGGACCGGGTCAGGGCTGTTTCTTGCACTCTCGCCATTCGTCAGTCGATTGGTAATATTGCACCTGTGTTCTCCATTGCCAACAGTGTCGCTTTAATCTCGCGCGTCAGCGTTTTTTATGGGGTTGGATTCGCATGGGACATAGGATTGACGATCCCCCAACAAAGTTTTGGGTTTCTGAATGTAATCTGTCCTGTCCAATACGGCCGTGGAACGGCTTTTGTCCGCAGGCATGATAACGAGGTCGTTGTTGGTCCTGAGTTCCTCAAGTGCATCGCGCTCTACCTTGGAAAGCACGTCGCGCGGCTTATGAGCCATGAGGATGAATGACACCTGGTTTCGAATGAGGTTCTCCGTTTCGTCTGTCGCTTTCGTCTGGCTGAGGATTGATTCCAATGCCGCAATCATATTACCTGTTAGCCCTGCAGTGCCGAACGACCTAGTCACCACTACCTGCTACCTACAACCCGAGCGAAATTTTATTTACTGATACCGCATGAAAAGGATGCGCCGAAAGACTACTCGGCCAGCTAGTCCTGGTATCCTGAACTCTCGCCTCATGCTTCTTGCTATCATGGGCGGTGGGGAGGACTCTTACCATGTTTTGGAGGTTGGTAGTACTATAAGTTGTCGAGCCAAAACGCCCGAGGCCTGAAACTGCTATAGAACTCAGTTAGGCTATCTCGCTTCGGCCTGTTGGACTAACGCGGGAAGCAGCCGCCTTTGGGGCATTTATGATGGATAATAAGTGGTCAGACGTGGAATACTCCTAAATGCCTCAGAAATGGTTTCGTTGTTGATGTCTGTGCAAAAATGGGATTTTTGGTGAACCCATTTGACTAACCGGTGATAAGAAACTGCGCTATAGTCTGGACGACCCGGGCTTCAACGCTTTCTTTGTGAGCTGGAGCACACCAATACAGTCGCAATGACCTCTCTAGTAGACTTGTTCCAGCCCTAGAAGGCTCCTCACTTACCAGTATTCTTAGATGTTGTCGTGTACGGAATTAGGTTGGTCCTCAACTCATCTTGTTTCGGCGCTTGGAGTTATTCGAAAAGTGACTAAGTGACTAAAAGACATGACACTCCGGTTAGATCGGTCGTATCAGGCAGACTGCTGTTGCCTTCGAGGAAACGTCGACGGTCATGCTCAGCTTCGTCCGTCGATCCTGTCACCTGCAGATTATGGATGCCTATACCTAGAGCTGCTCGCTTTAATTTCTAGGCGTTGTTCGAACACACCTATTGACGAACTACAAGCCATTTCTCATTTCAAGACGGATTCAGCACAATCTTGTCATAAATACGAGATGCAATGGTTGGCGCAAGAAGTATATTCGCCGAACGTTTTGGATCTTCACTCAAACCCATCATCAGAGGCAGTCGCAAATAAGGAGCAATGGACGCAACATTTGTAGGACGTAGTTGCCATGCTACCACGTAATTATCCTGGTTAGCAGCCCTTGCATTTTCCATCGGTGATCGTACTTGGCGCGATTCTTGCCTAAGTCCGAGTCGTTAAGCGCCGTAATTTCATTTCTGGTGCTAAATAGTGGCATAATAATTACTCGGCCGTGTGCGGCAGATGCGGTTCAAGCCCACTGTCATTCTAAACTAAATCACGCGCAGGTCACCGCCCCTGCATCAACTCAGCAGCGGGTCACACGGCGAATATCGACGGGAACGACGGTCCAACTGTCAAACACCTACACCGGAAACTGTTTCTTGAACTCTCTATCGAGGCGATTTCGCTTTATATCGGCCAAACCTCACAAACGTCCCGACTACAATTAAAATCCATCACAGAGACCTAGGACTGGCACAATACTTTAGAATGAAATTTACTATAGACAATAACTAACTGATCTTGAAAGAATTTCAGCATTTCGTTCGTGAACTCAAGCCACTAGAGTTCAATTTCAAATATTGCCCATCAAGGCCGTTTATTATGGCCAGTGGCAAGTGTCGTTGGCATGCTTGTGGCAATAAGTCGCCGTATGCACAAGAAGTCAGGTTAGCAGAAATACTCGGTTCCATAACATCCTGTGAAGGCGCATTCCAACTGGATCTTCGGGTATTCTCGTTCAGGAGCGACAACCGTCCTTTCCTGCCTCACGACACAGCGTCTGCTATGCATATTATTCTTCATGATTTCACATTTCCGCACATTTGTTGTTTCATTTTAATCTCTCGGGATAGCATGTTTGGCTGGCTGCAATCGAAAAGGCCTCATTTTTGCTATAAACATAAATTTTGGTACTGTTGTATTCAAGTAAATTAAAGCAGCTGACTATGAAGTTCCTCAGGGCTCCGCTCATGATCCGTCACTTTTCCTTTTATTTACTGATGACTGCATCCACGGGTTGGATTACAACATTGCGATTTACGCCTCCGCAACAAACAGAAGAATTTGCCCCGACCCAAGTAGTGGTCAAACCGCAGGCTCCTCCCGTTCAGTGTTAACAAATGCGCCATTCTGCAGGTCGGCAGAACCAGCGTTCCCAGTCGGACATTGTGCTATTTGAAGGACACGCCGCTACAAGAGGTAGATGCTCAAAAGAATCCGGGAGTTTGGATCGCGTCCAAAGTAAAATCCTCGTCACCCTGTTCAAAAGTAGCTAAATAGGCATTGTCAAACTTGTATTTCGTCAAGCGGGCTTTCGCGACATTTAATGAAGAGTGCTCCGGTAAGGTCTTATAGACGTTTGTGCGACGGCAATTAGAATTTGCCCTTCGAGCCTGGAGACCGTGAACGGTCAAATACCACAGCGTCCTCTGAAATGCCCGACGTCTGACGATCAAGCTGGTCCGTGGTTAAGGCCCACTGTTCTACGAAACACGGCTTTCCAACCTTGACTACCTTTATTTTGATTACGGGTAACTAGGAGGCGATCTGATACATGCGTTTCGGACCCTGTGGGGTCACGATTGTGGCCTTGCATCTGGCGACATCTTTGATCTGACCATCTCTACCAACCTGAGAGGGCATCGTCCCGAACTTCCTCCGAGTGAGGGGAGGTTGGTTGCAAGGAGGTTCTTCATTTCCAACAGAGTGATTGAGGCATGGAATGTTCTGCCTGCGGATGTCGTTGTGTCCCCATTTAAGCCCACCACGCAATCAGAACTTCACGCAATTCCCACCTTTTATCGTCCTCCCTGTAATAATCGCCCCAAACATGCTACTGACTGTGTTGCAGTAACAAAACTCGCTTCACTTATGATTAAATTACCTATAAGCAGATCAGGAGATTGCCAATAGGAGCGAAGAGACGAGTACCAGGAAGCAGTCTTAAAAAAGAGACACGATCGCTGGAACAAGAGCTTATTAGCTTGACGTTTCAGATTACTTCTTAAGCCCATCATCAGCGACAAAAGCAGATACGGGTGGTTCATGCACAAGGGGCTGCAGTATTTATAGGATGCAGTCGCCATGCTACCGCGTACCTATGAATATTAACGGCATACCCCTTCATCAGGGATCGTTGCACTTGGTGTGTTGACTGTTTGATGGCCGAAACTGCAGCAGTTAACGACGCGAATGTCGGCCATCAAACAGGCAGTACACCAAGTGCAACGATCCCTGATGAAGGGGTAAGCCGTTAATATTCATAGGTACGCGGTAGCATGGCGACTGCATCCTATAAATACTGCAGTCCCTTGTGCGTGAATCACCCGTATCTGTTATCGTCTCTGATGATGGATTCCAGCAGGAATCCGAAACGGCAGGCTAATAAAGCTCTTGTCCCGACGACCGTGTCTCCTTCTTCAAGATTAACTGACATTGTCTGCTCCGCTGATCACGGGATCAATCCCTGTTCTCCTCGAAAAACGCCAAACTATACACAAACACAAGTTGAGAGCTGATAGAAGTCTGGACCCCGGACACGAAATCAATCAGGTGATGCATCGATTTGAGGCCGGCGAACAGAGCAACGATAAATGGGAAAGTGCAGCACCAGTATGCACTCCCCCTTTTTCACTGCCGATTGATTGGTGTTTTGTTCGCATTCATGTCAAAAATTCTTTGCCTCTTGAACGATCCTCTTTTTTATATGTCTTACGCAATGTACAGAGATATGAAGAGATTGAAAGCGGTATCCCAGAGCAACTGTCCTTTAGTCCAAATACACTGGCTGATATACCGATTAACAACCTACGGCCCGTTGTATGATTAACGAGCGGCAGTGATAAGACAGAAAATATACAGAGGTAGGCTGTGATTCAGGAAAGTAGAAAGAGCTGCAAACCAGTCGATGGAATGGAATGCTCGCGCTGGTACAATCTTTAAAGTTTCACAAAACCGTCCTACAGATCTCCGCCATCATGAAATAGCGTCTTCTATGGTGTTAAGAACAGAATAACCAAAGTGGTTAGAGGTATCATGGTGGATCCGAGTGATGAATCCCACATATTCGAGAAAACGTGCTAGCGATGGTCCTAGGATTACCAATACAGATGTAGTTTGAAGGAGAACTGTAATTATCATAGGCGCAAGAAGCATAGAAACGGCATTTGTACTGGCTATTCGGCAACGTTGGATTTTAGGCGGACTAGGGGACGGGCGTTTTATAGTCAGTCCTCTGGGAATGCGAACCGGTTTGTGGCCAATATGCGGCAATTTAGCTGGCCTAGACACTGTAGAATGCAGTGCGTTTGTCCTAACAGTTAAAAATCAGTTATTCTTACTGGACCAAGAATAAATCTGATTTGGACTACCAGTTCTTAGTGTGGGCAAGCCTCTAAAGCTTGGCGATCATGGTGACGTCTGACATGTTTCCCTTTATTTGCAGGAAAACAACGGACTAATCGTATTGCACAGAATGCATTGAGTGCACAAATTAATTTCTACCCAACGCAACTTACTTGATTCTACACATTCTTAAGTAGTTCGAGTTAGGCGTGACATCATTCATTAGGCCCTATGGGGTTCGATAAGGCGGTCTAAAGGCAAATTCATCTTCGAATTTATCTTTA